CTTCCACAAGCATCTCCTATGACAGGCGGTCCAGTTGCTCCTCACGTTGGGGGCGATCCAAGAGGTTCCCCCAAGGGTAAGGGGGTTCTATTCCCATTATTTCCTAATCCCAATGGCGAAAGGGGGTCTGAGACCCATTCTAGACCTGAGAAACCTCAACTGCTACATGCAGAAAATGAAGTTCCGTATGGTCTCCTTAGCCACCATCGTCCCATGCCTGGATCCAGGCAACTGGTATGCTGCCCTCGCCATGAAGGATGCAGATTTTCACAAAGGGTAAGGGGGTTCTATTCCCATTATTTCCTAATCCCAATGGCGAAAGGGGGTCTGAGACCCATTCTAGACCTGAGAAACCTCAACTGCTACATGCAGAAAATGAAGTTCCGTATGGTCTCCTTAGCCACCATCGTCCCATGCCTGGATCCAGGCAACTGGTATGCTGCCCTCGCCATGAAGGATGCAGATTTTCACATATCAATCCTCCAGACCCACAGGCGCTACCTCAGAGTCACGGTGTTGAATGAACATTATCTGTTTGCAGTACTCCCCTTTGGCCTGTCCACTGCCCCCAAGTGTTTACCAAGTGCATGTTGGTGGTGGTGGCTTTCCTGCAGAAGAGGGGCGTTCAGGTGTTTTCCCTACCTGGACAACTGGCTACTGAAAGGGAACTCCCAGGAATAGCTCCTTACGCACGTAAAACTAACCCTAGAGCTGTTCAGGACTCTGGGCATCCTCCTCAACAAGGAGAAATCGGTGCTAGGTCCGGTGCAAAGAGTAGAGTTCATTGGGGTGACTCTAGACTTGATTTGGGGACGAGCCACCCTTCCAGAAGTCCGATCTCAGGTGATGAGGGATATGGTATTCTCCCTCACCCAGTGCCCCACCACAACAGTGAGGCTGTGCCTCAGTCTTTTGGGTCATATGGTGTCGTGCTGCCACGTGATCAGATATGCGGCTCACCTCGGTCTACAGGTCAATGGGGGGCAGCTTGGGCATGGTAGTGTCCATCCCTCAAGGCGTGATATCCACCCTGAGATGGTGGTTGTACCCACTCAGTATGGGCGAAGGAGTGGCATTTGCCCCACTGACACTTGTAACAGATGCCTTGGACCTTGGGTTGGGAGCCCACTTGGGGAACCTAAGGACTGAGGGTGCGTGGTCCCCTGCAGACTTGGCTCTTCACATCAGAACACGCTTGCAGATGCCCTCAGCAGGACTTTCATGGTCCACGAGTGGTCCGTCAGAACAGACCTATTACGCTCAGTTTTCCGCAGGTGGGGGGGTGGGGTCTCCCTGTCTAGACCTATTTGCCACACAGGAGAACAAGAAGTGTAAAGATTTCTGCTCATTCCAGAATTGCAGTCCTGGCTCCATGGCGAACGCGTTTGCATTTCATTGGGGGAAGGGGGCAGCTATTATACATGTCCCCCGCTACACTGGTTCCTGCTCAAGGCACGCAGGAACAAAGCATGCCTAATCCTACTGGCGCCAGCGTGGCCATGTCAGCATTGGTTCTCCACCTGTCTCACCCTGTCAGTGGAGGCCCCGATAGCCCTTCCCTTGTACCTAGACCACCTTACGCAACACTGAGGCCTGGGTGTTTGAGACACCCGCACCTACACTCACTCCACCTTATGGTGTGGAAGCTAGATGGCTCAGTCTGTTAGAACTTCAATGCTCAACTCAGGTACAGGAGGTTCTCTTGGGAAGCAGGAAGCACTCCACCAGGGTAGCATACTTAGCCAAGTGGAGGAGGTTTTTCTCCTGGGGCACAGACCGGGATGTTTTTCCCCCAGGCGGGCACCCATTTTGCTGGTACTGGACTACCTGTTACACTTACGAACAGAAGGCCTGGCACCTGCCTCTGTTAAGGTCCACTTAGCGGCTGTGTCTGCTTTCCACCCCAGGTGCTCCCAACGTTCCCTGTTCGTTCACCCATTTTAGGAAGGGGCTGCATAGGTTGTATCCATATTTTCCATTTGTATCCACATGGGACATTAATTTGGTGCTCAATAAACTTATGGGACCCCCCCCTTTGAAACAATGGCTGAGTGTTCATTGCTTCACCTGTCCACTAAGTTGGCTTTCTTAGCGGCTATCGTGTCGGCGAGGAGGGTGTCTGAATTACAAGCTCTTTCCTCGGAATCCCTGTACACGGTGTTCTATAAGGACAAGTTTCAACTTAGGCCGCACCTGGCCTTACCAAAGGCGCTCTCCCAATTCCACCTTAGTCAAGACCTCTTCCTCCCAGTGTTTTACCTGAAATAACACTCAAATGCTAGACAAAGAGTGTTACGCACGTTGGGCGCAAGACATGTACTGCACGGGACCATTTAGGAAATTAACCCAGTTGTTCGTAGCAATAGTGGAGCGGATGAAAAGGGAGCCTGTCTCTGCACAGTGTATATCATCCTGCCCCCGCCTCTACCACTGCATTCGTGGCGCAGGTCCCCCTCCTAGAGAGATGCAGGGTGGCCATGTGCTCCTCAATACGTCTTCACCGCACACTACGCCATTGATAGGTTCTCTAGGGAGGATTCAGCTGTCGGTAGGGCAGTGCTCCAGTCAGTGATTCCTAACTCCGACCCCACCTCCATGATGTAGCAGCTTAGGAGTCACTTGATTGGAATCAGTGTGAAGAAGCACTTGAAGAAGAAAAGGCAGTTACATGTTCTCATAACTGGTGTTCTTCGAGCTGTGCTGTTGACATCCATTCCAATACCCACCCTCCTTCTACACTGCCGGAGTAGCCGGCAAGAAGGAACCGAGGGAAGGGGTAAGGTCGGCAGTGATGTATGTAAGTACCGATATAGCAGCGCCGTTCTAGGGGTCTCCACAGCCGACCCTAGGGAAGCTGCTAGGGGAAAAAGTTTCTGACGTTCATGCACACTGTCATAAATTGGTGACTAAGGGGTTAACTCAGGTACCTAGCAAAGGTACCCGCTGGGGGCGGGGCAGAGGGGTGTTTTGGCAGTCAGCCAATAACAATGCAGGTAGGAATTTCAAACTGGGAAAGAGGGTTTTTTTCTCTCTCTCTCCTCTTTGAGATGAGAACAGTTTCTCCCAGGTACTGAGGGAGATGGGAGATGTTTCTCTCTCTCCAAGAACGAGCTTCTTGAAATGTGTAAGTAGGGAAGAGTTTAGATAGTCCGGCAGGGTTTATTGTTTTCCTTGTTTGGGGGGTTTGGAAATCATGTCTGAGCTGGCTAATTGTTTTTCTCTTTTGTAACTAAGTATTACAGCCCAGGGCTTTCCCAGAGTATATATCAAACTGTGGCTATTTACCACCTAGCCAATTTACCATGCTTGCAACTGTAGTTTTGTTTTGATAAGTGTTTTTTTTATTTTAATTAACCGGTATTGGTTGATTGTTGTGTCCTTAGGATTAAGTGTCTAGTTACAAGGGTAGAGTCCATTGTTTGTGGATTCCCTCTGTTTTCTCAACCCAAAGCAAAACAGAGCTTGGGGGCAGGAGGAAGAGCCTTACCTTAGAGAGGGAGATTCCCAGGTGATTTCTCTCTGGAAAAGGTGGGGTTTTTTTGTTTGTTTTTGTTTTTTTTATTTTATATTTTCTTATAATCACTTGGGTGGTGGCAGCGTGAAACCAGTCTTGTCTTTTTTGGATCTCAGGGAGACTGAGATTGAATACGTTTGTCTCTGGGAATCAGAGAGACTAGATTTACAGTGTTTATTCTGCTAGCTGGCCCCCCCATCTCTGCACGTAGAGTGTCAAGTTGGGGAATTGAGCTGTGACACACGTGTATACCTGATTGTAATGGATGTGAACAACACATCTTGAAGAACACCAATTACGAAAATGGGTAACTGTCTTTTCCATACAGCAGGCATGTCAAACAAGCCCCTGGTGAGCCGCATGCAGCCCAATCGAAATTTTTTGCGGCCCACCACTACATTTTTATAAAAGAATAAAGTGCGGCCTACTGGCCGCTCAGAGCACGTGGCCAAGTGCAGATCACAGCCGGCCGCCCGGCTG